AATTTACCTCGATCGGCGGTCGGAAATTTCCCCGGTGCGGCGGCGAGTGGCGGCGGGTGGCGGCGGTCGGCCTCTGGTTCGTCTTCTCCGGCGAGCGGCTGGCGGCTAGGGTTTTTGGTCTGGTGTGGGGGGTTCTATTTATAACCCCTTGCCTTTTGATCACAGCCGTTCGTTTCGTTTTAATCTGGGCCGTTCGTTTTTGATTGAATCTGGGCCGTCCGTGCGTTTGAATTTGGGCCGTCCGATCGCGTGATTGATTTGGGCCGTCGGATCGCACCCACGCGGATCGCCAACGTGGCTCCTTTCGGAGTGACGCGATCTTGCCACGTGGCAGGCCCCGGTTGGCCGGGACTGCTGACCGGGCCTGCTGACGTGGCTGCTGACGTGGCCCCCCCTTTTTTTTTTTTTTTTTTTTTTTTTTTTTTTTTTTTTTTTTTTTTTCCTCCTCCTTTCCGGGTGCTACATTCTTAAAACCCAAATTTTTACCAATTTTTTTAAAATTATTTTCAATTTCATTATTTTTCTATTTTTCTTAATTTTTACATTAAATAATATTTTATAAATTTAAAAATTATATTTTATATATTAATTTTAAATATTTTAAAATTAATTTCGAATATTACATCTATTTTTTAAGATCACGATAAATATTGAATCTAATTTAAAGATTTCGAATACACCTTTTTTTATTATAATTTACTCGGATAGTTGGCTGAAAATTCAAATCAAAAAATTTATGTCAATATCTGATTTTATTTTCATTTTCTTTAAGTTTATTCTAATTTCTCAATTAGAATTATAAATTGATCATCTTGTTTGTGTAATGATGCAAAATTAGTAATTAATTCCTCAATTATTATCACTTAGTAGTTTGCCTTGATATGACTATAAACAAGAGCCAAAACCATATATATATATATAATATTGAAGGATATAAGTTTTAATCTTCATAAAAAAAAAGTTCGGTCATAATTATTTGCAATATATAAAGTAATAAATAAGAAATATTTAAAAAAATTAATATGTAATAAATCTGCAAATTTTATTTTTCCAAATTTTCGAAATTTTTATTGAGAAAAGATATAATTATAAGCTACAGCATGTGAGAGATTATATACAAGAAATATACATTCCTTTTCTTTTTATTTCATTTTAATGCATTTTCTTTTTGTTTTGTTGAAGTTGCAAAACAAAAGTATATGTGTAAATAATTATTAAAAACCATGTAAATAGAAAAATGTAACTACCAGTAGGTGAAACATATCGTTATTTATTTTTTAAAATATTTTAAATAAATAGAAAATATAATTTATTATTAAATATAAATAGCAATAAAAGGGTACAAATAAAATACAAAAAAATGTGGAGTAAATAATATTAATTAACATATAGGATAATAATGTGTTCTTATTAGTAACACTAAATTTCTGTCATATTATTATTTTAAAAATTAATTATATAATATACACATTATAATTTAATTAAAAATTAAAAATTATTTTTGCATTTAAAAATTATATACGCGAGATGAATGAAAAAGACGAATAATCAGTTCATTGGGTTCTAATTATCCGGTGTGTACACGTGGCGAGATCAAAGCCGTTTTTGCCACTTACTTTTGTGTCTCAAGAAGTCAACCCCGAGGAATCTTCTCATCTCCCAGCGCGGGTAGGGATAAGGAAACAGAGCAAAAGCAGAGAGAAGAGCTTCCCCCAAATCCCCATCTTTATCCATACCTGAAAATGAGCTTGTCGTCACTAACTAGGTCAGTTCAAATATCTAGGTTTTCTCTTATTCTTCTTCTTCTTCTTCTTCTACTCTTTTCACTCCGTCTTTTTTTCAGGTTCTCATTTCACATATTACATGTGCATACAGGTTTTCTCCTTATATTTCTTCTCTTACCCGTTGAGCTCCATTGAGTTTTTCGTCAAATTCGTTTATGTGCAGTGCGTGCAGTTCCTTGAAATCAAGCTCATTGGGCTCGAGCGTACAGTTACAGTTCCAATTTAATTGCTCTAATGGAAGATTTGTTTCCCCTCCCAAAAGAAGGAAGTTTGCTCTCAAAAAGCTAAATGTGTCTTGCTCTTCTTCTTCCAGTACGCGCATTTATAAGCTTTTTTTATTTAATTCTTATATTTACTGGATTATTAGTGATGTTTAGAACCCAAGATTCTGCTTGTACTCCTCTATTTTGCTGCTTTTCCTGGGGATTTCTCTGTTTTTCTTTTCCTTCTAGCCACCAACATCATCTTCTCATTGCAGAAAGTATAAATCTCGTTCCTCTTTTACTTTTTTTTTTTAATTTTTTGGATACATGCACGATGCATCTTTTTACAAGCTCTTACTTATGAGACATAATTTTTGAGTTAGCTTCCATAACAAGAATGAAGAGAAATGATGAGAGTGGATCTCCCTTCCTCAGACTTCTGTCGTTGAAAACAATTCTGATGGGGCCCCGACAACAACTACAAAAGAGGCAGGGGAAATACAGTTCCCACCTGGCCTCTCCATTTGGCCTCTCAGCCTATCCTTTCGGGTAGACACAATTGAAAAAACTAAAAAACATAGTTATATGCCTTCTCCATATCCAACTTTCACATGAGGCCAACATTCCTATTTCTTGGGATAGTATCTAGCATTTCATTTGCCACCAAAGATGCATATTAGAATCTATCTTCTCCTAACAGAAGTATGGAGAACCTTTCCCACGTGGGGTTCGCAACCGTGCTCAATCTTCTAGTTAATACCTTTACAATCAACTTGTATATACTCCCAACCAAGCATAATGGGTATGAGAACCCTCAGGTCAACAACCCTTTCTACCTCGCTAAGAATGTGGAAAGAGGAATAAGGGCGTTTCACAAATTTACCACTAACATGGAATTCATTGAAGACCTCCATCACCTCATCCATAATCCCTGAAATTTTGTTGCAAGAAAGCTATAGAAAATCCATCAAGACCCGAAGGGTTTGCTCCAAAGATGAGTCAAATGTGAGAAATCTAACCTGTCCAACTTCAGTCTCTATTTCTCCATCCCACTGTAAAGATTCTTGTGGAAATCTTTAGCTATGAATCTCCTGTCATTGCTCTTCCCAAACTCGAACTCGGCACAAGCACGTAGGACTAAGATTTTCCTATGGCAAGCATTACCCATTTGGCAGAAAAATTTTGAGCTCGTACCTCCCTCCTTAATCAAAATCATTCTAGAACACAAATGCTAAGCAATCTCATCGGCAACAAATAAGTTAGATAGCTCCACATGAGCCACACTTCTGTTTTTTTCATCCTCCAATAGACGCTTCTGTACCTCTTTCCAATTTAGAACATTAGTCTCAGTTAATTAGCCTTTCCCTCCTCTCGATCACACTATCAAATACCTCTTTGCTCCACAATTTTACCTGATGTTTCATATCGGAAAGCTGCTTGGCAACCCCGAAGCTAGTAGCTCCCACCGCCTTCACCTCATTCTTTTAAAATTCTTTTAAAATTTAATGAAGTCACTAAATCTCTCCATCCATAATCACATATTTTAGATCTGAAAGGCACATTGCCCTGTTTGAATATGACCAAACCAAGACAAACAGATGCAGGATCCGAAATTACCTGGGGCAGTGAAACCTGAGAGACAATTGGCACTTATTTTTCCATTCATGGGGAGATTAAAAAACCTATCATTCTAGAGAAGGGAGAATCTCCATGATTGAACCATGGGACTTAGGTTTTTTTTTTTTTTTTTTGAAATAAAAAGAAATATTATTAGCACAATGGTATCAAGGGGATACCGTCCGTATACAAAATAGATTTACATCTCAATCAAATGGTCGATGACCATTCTAATATTGTTCCAATCTTTCATGTCATGACCCAATAATATTGAACCAAAAGTATTAAACCATTTATCTGTGATTTTTATAAAGTTAGTTTCTATATTCTTAAAAACTTTTATATTTTTCTTTCCTTCCACACAACCTTAAAAATGGTAAGTGGAACTATGAATAATTGTCTTTTCTTTTTGCATATACCCGACCAAGTCGATAACTCTTTGTCAATAGCGTCCGCACTGACCCAATTTAACCCCAGCATCCCATAGACTGTCGTCCAAATATTGTAAACAAACAGGTAATGGAGTAAGAGATGATTGTATGATTCCTCAGCACATTTGCAAAGATAGCATCTGTTAACCAAAATGTTGCCTTTCCTTTTCAACATATCAATAGTAAGGATACTGCCTCTAGCAGCTTCCCAGGCAAAAAAAAATATTCTGGGAGGAGCTTTTGACCTCCATATCTGCTTATATGGTGCTGACAGAAAAACATTATGCCCTTTATTGCAAATGAGACTTAGGTTGTTGATCATATTTGTGAATTTTTGAGTACATGCACTGGAAAACAAACCAATAGGGGCAAATCAATGAGACTTAGGTTGTTGATCATATGCATGAATTCCTGAGAACACACACTGAAACAAACCACTGGATCTATCATATGAAGGTAAGGGCATGCTGAAATCATCCCCAGCAATCCAAGGACAATATCATCTTTGTCTAAAGAATAAGATCCTCAAAAACCAGTCTCTGTTCTTATAATGCGAAAGCAAATTCTAATGACAATTCAACTCCCTCACCTTAAATTCACTTGAGATAGATACGGATCTCCTGATCCATGAATGTATTCAAGATTGCCATTCCTTCACATAAGAGGCCACCTGCAGCACCTACTGCTGGAAGCTCGGACCATTTTGCATCTGTAGCCGCCCCCCGAAACCCAACCCACTCCTTTAACCAAGCTATCTGTTATAACTTCTGCTTTTGGGAACATGCACCCATTTATTAAAAATCCTTTTGATGACTGGTCTCTTGCAGGTGTCAGTGCTGCTTCTGACATTCCAAGACATCACCCTGCCAAGAATTCGCTTTGGTAGCAATATCTTCTCCTCCCTCCTTAACAGTCATATCTCTTTGCCTCTTTTATGATGATCTATAGAAGGCTCCAATCTTATCGTTTCTCTAGACTTCCTCTTCGAATCTGCCTCATTCTTTTTAGCACTTCCATTAACTGCATTCCTCTCCTTAAACCTTCTGAATAGCTCCAGCACTTGCCCCTTGAAACCTTCAAAGATAACCCCAAATAGATTACTTACTCTATTGATGCTAAATACCCATTCAGCCTCTAAGTAACCCGGGGGAAGATATAAATTAAGTTTTTAGAAGTCCATGGAAGGGACTCTAAACTTTTAGACCATCCTTGCTGGAGGGAACTTGCAAGATGTATTGTTTTAATGTTCTTGCCCCTGCCATGGTAGCCTGGAAGAGTATTCTGGAATGAGCTGCATTCTTTGATATGGTTAAGGGAACGTTTACATTGTTTTTCTTTTCACTCGTGTTATATTCAAGAACTTGCATATTTCATCACAAGTTTGAATATATTCTGATTGCAAAAGTTTAAACAATTGTATCTGTGGAAAAAGTTAATAGAATAAATATTGATTATAGATATTTTGTAACTTAAATTTTTCTATATATATTGTTAATCTTAAAAGAATGAGTAACTAAGTAAGTTGGCTATATAAAAGATAAGGATATGAAAGATTAAGAATCAAGTGCTTATTTTTTACATTTTTAAAATCACTTTCAAGAACCTAATAAACATTCTACCTTTTATATTACTAAACTGCAGAGATTAAAATACGTACTTCAACCACTTACAAACAGTAAAGAAGTAATATAAGAAACATTCCTCAGCTTTGCTATGAGTGTGATAGATTATTTTCTGGAGTTTCATGGAATTTTCTTGTTTTTCATTTTTGTTAAAAACTTTTTTGTTTAGATCCACTCTTGGTTAAGGCTGCTAGGGGACATGCTGTTAGTAGGCCTCCAGCTTGGATGATGCGACAAGCGGGAAGGTACATGGCTGTTTACAGAAAGCTTGCTGAGAAACACCCATCGTTCAGAGAGAGGTCAGAGACAACAGATCTCATTGTAGAAATTTCTTTGCAACCTTGGGAAGCTTTCCGTCCTGATGGCGTTATCATTTTCTCTGACATACTTACCCCTCTACCAGCATTTGGTGTCCCATTTGACATAGAAGAAGTGAGAGGTCCCATCATTCAGTCACCTATCCGTTCTGAAGAGGGCTTGATGGCATTGCATCCCATTGACTTGGAGAAGTTGCAATTTGTGGGGGACTCCCTTAAAATTTTGCGACAGGAGGTAGTTTATCTTTTCCATTTATGCATTGGAGTAGGCACTGAATTTGCGAATGTAATCTGTGCCACACAGATTACTTGATTAAATATCACTTCCTTTTTCTTCTAACTGGTTCTTCTTGCGAAGGTTGGGGAGCATGCTGCAATTCTGGGTTTTGTTGGAGCACCTTGGACAATTGCCACTTACATTGTAGAAGGGGGAACAACTCGTACGTACACTACCATAAAGAGTATGTGCCATACTGGGCCACATGTATTGAGAGCTCTTCTGTCTCATCTAACACAAGCGATATCTGAGTATGTCATTTTCCAAGTGGAGTCTGGTGCCCATTGCATTCAAATATTTGATTCATGGGGTGGACAACTAACTCCAGACATGTGGGAGCATTGGTCAAAACCTTATATTGAAGAGGTGATTAGATCTGGACATTTTTGCTTTGGCAGAAGAACCTTAAATCCAAATTGTGATGCAATTGCTTACTAAGATTGTCGTACTCTGGCTTTAAAATATACCCAAATTCAACTTTTAGGTTCATAATTGAACGCATTTCATACATAATTGACTTGTTCCAAGCTGTGTCCTGTTTTTTTGTTTTTTAAATGCCTTTCTTTTTTAAGTTAGATCACCATGATCTGCTGCATGAACGACAAGTCTTTAGAATCTATGCCATGGTTTTAATGGCAATACCATCAAATTTTTTTCTTTCAAACTGAAAATTCTTAGGGAACAAGGGATGCTGTGTTACTCCAATTACTGAAGGTAAATTTCTAAATGTGGTGAACCTTATTGTTTTGCTGGAGTCTTGTTTGTTTAACTCATTTCCAGTTTCATATGTTAATGTGCTCCTATACTTCTTTCTACCTCACTTGACGTAGGATATGTACTTCTAGTATGAAAATTTCTTCTGTGGTGTGCTTAAATTGCAGATTGTGCGTACGGTTAGAAATAAATGTCCTGAAACACCAATTGTTCTCTACATTAATGGAAATGGTGGCCTTCTTGAGCGTATGAAAGGAACCGGAGTTGATGTGATTGGGCTTGACTGGACGGTAGACATGGCAGATGGAAGGAAGCGGTTAGGGAGCGGGATTAGTGTGCAAGGAAATGTGGATCCTGCTTGCTTGTTTTCACCTCTTCCTGCATTGACTGATGAAATTAGAAGGTTTGTTGACTTGTTTTCAATATTCAAGCTATGAAGTTAGACTGATAAGATTTCTAACTGCCTATTAAATGATAGTTTGATTGGAGTAGCCATGGGAATTTGTGAGGAATAGTCCAATGTTGGTATTAAAATTTGTTAGTTGGTTGAAAATTTTCTTACTTTGGAGATGTTTAACTATAGATTTGCAAGAGTTAAGTTTCTACTGGCCAAACTAGTATTCTATATATAGTCAATCCCTAAACTAAAAAGGACAAGATCAATGTTACTGTCTGGTGTATCCTAAGGGGAAAGACATTGTTATCCTTTCACAATGGATACAAGGTGTCTGACTAACTTGATCATGGTCTGAAATATTTGAGTGTGGCATGTTTTTAGTACAAGGTGGATACAGATTGCTTAGTTGTTGGATAGTGATTTTATATCCTAAATTAGTCGTTGGATAGTGATTTTGGGTCATTTGGAAAGAAAGAAACCACCGGCTTTTTGAAGGAAAAGAAGTTGATTTCAACGTCATTTTAGACAACTGGTTTCATTATTTTGGATCAATTATTTTGGAACATACCATTAGCTATCTAGATGACTTAGGCTACATTGTTGATATGCTAATCAACTTGTAAATTTTTGTACATGGGCAGTGCCCCCTTGGCATTATTAATCAATACAAACTTCTACACTTTTATTTAAAAAAAAAATAAAAAAAATCCTAAACTAGTCAGTTGAATAAGCTGATATGCTTTCTTTTCAGGGTTGTTAAGTGTGCAGGGCCACAGGGACACATTCTAAATCTAGGTCATGGTGTTCTAGTTGGGACACCTGAAGAAGCTGTTGCACATTTCTTTGAAACGGCAAGAAGCTTGAAGTATGAAGGTATTTTCAAGATGTAGTGGGAAAAACTGAATTGGTTGCATGAGGGCGTAATGTTTAAGTATCAGTCATATCAAATTTTTAGAAATTGGTTGTTGGCTGCAAGCTAACTTGAAGCTCAAGTGTTTTTACAGGTGAGCTAACTAGTTATCTTTGGTTGTAAGTAAAAAACATATGGGTGAATGGTTTGATGTATAGTTTCTGACTTTTCATTCCTTTATTATGGTTTTAGTTGCTCCCAATTCCTTCACATGATCCCTTTTCCCTCATCCCAAACAAAAGAGGAAGAAGAACTAAGCGAACACAAATTTTGATTATCTTCTTTTTGCTTTTCTGTGGAATTGCTTATTAGGTTATTGTTAGTAACAGTAATCATTTGAATCTAATTTTCACACTTTTTATTTGAAAAAACAGTAATCATTGGAATCTAAAAATGGTGATGCACTAGCACTTTGATTTATTCTCTATTTTTCTTATTGCTCACATATTATCTGGTGGAATTATGTTACAAATAAGTTTTACTGAATAGGTGAAGCAGATATATTCGTCATTCCCATAACATAGGCAGATTTTTACAATTTCCTTATTATCTATTTATTTCTACTATAGAAAATATACTTGTTTATTTTGTGAAAGAAAATGTAAGCAATTCTATTCTTTTGATGTGCATTTTATTTTCTTGCATGACATCTATGTTTATTTCATCTCTTTTAATCATCTGGATAATCAAGCCTGACTTTTACCTATATCACCATTTTGCATTTAAGGTGAGATAGCCTCCACAGTATCAGTTATCTGCATCTGTATCTTTTTTTCAAAAATACAGTTTATTAACATCTTCTTTTCCTAAAAGTTTAGCAGGTTGCAGTGTTCTAATCATCTACTATATAGGAGCATGCATTCTAATAATCTATTATATATGAGCATACATATTGTAATTGCCATATTGTTTTGGAGCATTTCCTGTTAATGCCTACATTGTATATTGTGCTTGCCTGAATGCTTGAGTAAACTCTATATCTTACACCGTCGCTCTTATGACATCTATCTATTATCTCAGTTCTTGCATGGCAACTGCATGTATCTTATCCATTTTTGCCATCCAGTCAGGCTTGGCTTGGTGTATGCTTCAGCATTCACGTGCCACTGTGCTCCAGGAAAAAAAGGGATAGCCTCTACAGTGTCATATATCTGTTCCTATAACCTTTCTCACGCTCACTCATATATATAGTCACATTGCTTTAGAGTTTTTTTGGTGCTAATGCTTGTCTGTGTATTGTATTAATAACTTCTATAGCATAGGTCTTCTCAATAAAAAAAAAAGAGCTATTAGAATGTATAAGGTATCATCCAATCTTTCCTGGCTTGCATTATTCAGATCTCCTGTGCACGTTCATTTGCTTTTCCACTGTTTGTTTGTTTTGTCTTTGTATAAGCTAACACCCATCATTATATCCTACCACATGCATTTAACAGTGTATAAAAGTTCCAGATGTCGAATTCCTGGTTGTCTCATGATGGATTAAATCACATGCAAATTTCTGTTATCTACAGATCTTGATTCTTGCTAGTTGGAATGTTGAAGATAACATTCAGGAAAATTCCCATGCAGTGAAGGGAAGGACTGAGGGATTCTGTGATACCTTCTTCTGACTATGACTCATCTCCCTCCTGGTGTAAGTACTTGGTTGTAGGGTTTGCTGGTGATTTCTTGGCATAAGGTACTGTTAGAAACAAACATTGATTCAGAACAGAAGAGGTTGATGGGGAAAATGTTGTCTCTCTTGTGGTTTGAAAATCTAGGTTGCAATTTATGTTCTTTGTTTAATTTATTTTAATAATCAGGAGCTAGATTCAGTGGTAGAAAAAAAAAAAGCAGATTGGTTGAGAAGGAGCAAGAAAATATCCTCTCGCGAGATGTGTTACTGAAAAATGGTGGAAAATTAGATGTTTCATGGACCATATTTCCATTATCAGTATAGATTGTTAATCTTGTTATTTACCCAAAAATATGTTCTACTTAGCTTATGGGTACAATGCGCATAGTCATTACTACAAAATTAGTGATTTGTGAACTACCCCAAAACACTGCTATAGTCAAATTTCTGCTGTGTGTTTTTGTATCCTTACCAAATGCATTCTAAATCTTAGTTCACGTGTTCAAAAGCGTATGTCTTGAATTCTGTCATTTTATCTTCTTTGCTCATAATGAGAGGTAGTCCGGTAACTTTTAGGTTGTTTTCTTGTATGTCATGGTGAGGTAGTGGTAGGTCAGTGGCTTCAGATATATAAACGGTTACTCTTCGGCTCTTGTTGAAAGGAATTGGGCCATCTTTGGAATGAATAAGCTCTGTTGTGGTCCTGTGGAATTTATTTGGAAATTTTACACATTTAAACTGTAAGAGGATGGAAATATATTATTCTAATTTTACTTGTAATAATTCAGAAACATTTTAAGTTTGTATATGTATATATATATATATATATCTATATTGCTTGAAGTATTTATTGATTTATAAATGGATATTCCTAAACAAAATTCTCTTGTTCCAATTCATGGCGTTAAAAAAGCTTAATGTTTCAGTAACAATAAAAATATCAAATGTCAACCAAAAAGATGTTGACCATTATATATATATATATATATATATATATATAGTGCATTTAAAAGGCAAGTGCCTGCACAATTGACAAACCAGAGGCTTAGAAGTGTTTGGTTGATGTTTTTTAGTGTGCTATTGCGGGCTTGTGGGTTTGCATTGCTCCTCTTGGCAGCCCTTGTCTTTTAATTCATTGACAAAGTGCTGTCCTTTATTAAAATGAAAGTGCATTTAAAGTGTGTCAAAATGAAAGTCCAGGCAAGAATGGCAGACAATACCCATTTCAGATGAAAACCAGTAAAAAAAAAAAAAAAAAAAAAAAAAAGAGGGTTCCTCCATAATCCAATCCTATTGGTTTTGGGTGTTGAGACAGATTGCTTAGATTCTCTCAGTGCTTAATTGTTTCTTTAATCTTTTTAGACTTATGGGGAGAGGCGCATTTATGTGGATATAGTCATTTTATTAATTCAATATAGTTATTTTATTAATTTGATAGTATATAAATATAAAAAAATAACATAATTTTTTAGTAAAAATATACGAAATGCACAATCTATCGTTCAGAAAAAAAAAAAAAAAAATCATATAATAATAAAAAAATGGTTAGTGTTTTAGACTTATTAAATTAATTCCAACACATGCGTGTGTTTCCGAAAAGAGGTGGCATGGTGTAGTGATGAGGACACGTATAAATCACACACCCGATATCGTACCTTATATATATTTTTTTATCTCAAATAAATTATAAGTTCGAACTTTTACTTAAGTACAAGAGATATATATTACATTATATATATGTAAAGACATACACATATTTTCACATGTTGCAGTTGACTCAGTCTTGCTAAATGTCTCGTGTCGATGATAATGGTGTGAATTATACTTTTTATTTCTTATTAATTTCTTTAACACAATATGATAAAACAGGCTTCTGTAGGGTTGTAAATAATCTACTAGTCCCGTAAATGTCATCTTTATTCAATATAATATTTTTTTTTTTACCTTAAAAAAAGTTAAAGAAGAACAAAAAAAAAAAAAAAAGTATCTGAGTAGATAGATTAAAAAATTTACTATAGAAATCTACCTAAATAATTCGAATAATCTAATTTTGTGTAGTAAAAAAATTAATAGTTAAAATTAAGTAATAGTTTGTTGCTTAAGCTAGATAATTGAAGAGTATATATGCTCAAATAAATAATTCAGATATATAACTTTGATAAATTGATAATTAATAATCAATAATCAATAATAAATAGAATATGGTGATAAGTACTTATTACGCTATAATTATAATTAAATAATTAATAATACAATTTTTAAGTAATTAATTAATCAAATTTTAACATACCAGTAAAAATTTTATTTTTATTTTTTAAAATTAAATTATTAATACAATTATGAAAATCGTCTTCGTGCTTTAAAACTGGAGGATCATCCTTCAATTTTCAGCACTGTAGAATTGCAAGTTGAGATTGAAGGATGTCCTTTCCATTTCTATTTATAATTATTATAAAGTTTCATCCTTATCTGAATTATCAGAAATCTTTGAAGGCAAATTTTTAATATAAAAATAAATTTATATTCAAGAGATTAAAAAAAAAAAAAAAAAGAAGAAGAAGAAGCAAATATAGTGTTTTTATATATTAAATAATGTACTAAAGTCATTATCTAATTATGACATTTACAAAAAAGATTCTATAAATATTCTTATAGATTTATATGTTATTCAAGACGCAACGATAAAAATATTTTGTTAATAATTATACTTACGTTGTATATTTGTAGAGATATTTTGAACAATGATATGTTACATTCGTAAGAATTTTATAAGTACATGTCATTTTAAATATAATTTATTTATTTTTTTTAAAAAAAATAAAATAAATTTAATAATAGAAACTCGACACGTAAAATAAAAGATATAGATTTTTAATATACGTTAAGTCTAAATCTTTTCAATTCTTTCAATCGATGTCTATATTATTCTTAAAATAAAAATAAAAATTTATTTTAGTAGTAATTTAATAGACTCAATTAAGACAACTCTAAATTATCTGAATTGAATCTAATTGTTGATGTAACCCATCACATAATTTCACCAATTAATATAAAGTTTTTTTGCCCTATTGAAATTGTTATGACATATAGATTGGTACCAACTTTGGTGATTAGATATCTCTATAAATTGAAAAATTATACATAAAACAATTGCACATGATTTACCCATTTGTAATTTTAGTGGTCTGTCTCAAATTTTTATAAGAAAATATACCTACAAAGTTTCTAACAAAAATCTGATAATGGAAAAATGAAATCGCATGGATGAAACTTGTTACCGTGCATGCATGCATGCATCCCAGCAACCTATAACTTCTAATTATTCCATTGTCAATATATTATTCATTAATTACATGATGTATGTATATGTATAATACCAACTAAAACCAAATTAAAATGCTAATAAATGCTGACTCCCTGGCCTTTTCTGTTGCAGCATCGCATAAGGTATACCCACTCATACATTCACATACATACATATATATATATATATATAGAGACCTTCGTTTACTGAATTTATAACATACCCATAGGTTTTTCTAATGGTCTTAAACAAATAAGTTTGATCTTTCTGCAATTTTTATGATTGAGAGAGATAGAGAGAGAGAGAGAGAGAGAGAGAGAGATTCATCAGCAGTATTCTTAATTTACTCGAATTTCAAACAAGAACAAGACAAGGTAGCTTCTTATTCATTTTAATTTGTGTATAGAATTTTATCAGTACCCATTTAGTAAGTAGTATCATAGATTAATTATATATATATATA